AATTTTACACCATTTTCAGCTCACGGACGCGAGAAATGCATCGAACTGACTGAAAAACATGATAGAAGTTTCAAATCCGAAATAATAGACATTTTCGGCACATTTTAAGAGTTTTTGAGCATTCACAATCTTTAACTGACGATTTCTTCCTTATTATTGACTTAAACACTTTATAAATGCATATTTGTGACCTTCTTACGTCGAAAGGAATCGATTGATCTCAAAAAACACGCATGTGAAATTTTGATTTTTGGTAGAAATTTCTCCAATGGTGGGGATCGATTTTGTGAAAAAATGAAAATATTCTCAAAATGTCTCAAATTTCACATCATTTTCAGCTCACGCATGCGAGGAATGCATCGAACTCATTTAAAACATGGTAGAAGTTTCAGATCCGAAATAATAGACATTTTCGGCACATTTTAAGCGTTTTTTGATCCGTCACAATCTTTAATTGACGATTTTTCCTTATTATTGACCCAAATATTTTATAACTGCATATTTGTGACCTTCTTACATCGAAAGCAGTCAATTAAGCTCAAAAAACTCGCATGTAAAATTTTAGTTTTTGGTCGAAATTTTTCCAAGGGTGGGTCCTTGTTGGCCCAAAACAAAAAGTGCTTTTTTTCGCAAACTGTTAACCAAAAACTCCGCAATTTGAAACGTGGGTCTTTCCTCTTAAGGGTGACTTGAAGAAGCCGGAGAAATTATTTGCCAAAGTTTCACCCCCATTCTTTTTGATTTCGATCTTTTGAAAAAACACTGTAGCCGCAGGCTAAAAAAGCAAGTCAAACTGTTGGCCCAAGACAAAAAAATGTTTTTTTCGCCAACTTTTGTCCAAAAACTCTGCAGCTTAAAAATCGGGTCATTCTTTTCGAGATTTAAGATGACGAACACGGCGGAGCGCTCGGGATTTTCTTCAATTGATTATAACAAATCTAATAACTAGTTTGTCTTTGTGTGTGTAACAAGCCAGGACCGGTTCCGAACTTCTTTTGTCACTTTGGTCGTGACGTTTTGCTAGCACGCATGGCCAGCATCTTCAGCGTTGTGTCCGATTTGGGCGAAAAAGAAGAAATTAGTACTAATATATCGGAAACCGGTCCTGGCTTGTGACTTGGCCAAAATACTGTGTAACTATGTAACTTTATGAAAGCCTATCAATGTTGAAAAATGTTTGTATCTTTGTAGAAACTCGCTATTATTTCGTTTGTTTTGATTTCCAGGTTGTGAACAACGTCTTCCCGTAGCTGAGCTGCAGCTTCGAAGAAGTTAAAACAGCATTGCCAAGACAACTTGTTTCTCATGCCTTCGATTTAAGCATATGCATTCAGACAAATATCCCAATTGTCCCATTACACATATTAAGACTAATTTAAGTAATTCGTCTGTTGGTTCTGCGAAGTTTAACATCGTGGTTCAGTCGCTCTTGGTGTAGTGTGGCGCTAGCAGGCAAATTGTCCCCCATCGGTTTGTTTGTCTCGATTTTGAAAGTAGTAGTGATTTAGCCCCGAAAATTAGCTGGTGAATTAACACGTTGTCGCTGCTGAGGTCAAATTTCTTGCAAACGACCATTGAAATGCAGTTTCGCCAAGACGGCCGCGTTTGATCATAATCATCCGACATTTGGGTTGTCTGTCTAAAGTAGAACCTGAACATAGAGGGTCAAGACTGATTTATACCCGTTGTTTGTGATAAATGGATATTGAGTCTAGCTTCCTGCACATTAAGATGCTAAACATCGACAACAGCTTCCTGCAAAATCGACGCCAACGTGAAACTACCGGCATCAAGAAATTGTACAACTCCTTTTTTGTTATGTTTTAAAACCTCCAGTGCATCAATTCTGCATTTTTGAACTGATTTCTTGGTAGATGGTAGGCTCGATATAGCCATAGACACATTGTTTTTTTTTAATTCGGCTCATTCCAAATTCGCTAGTTGAGGTCGTTTAGAAATCCTCACGCTTTCAAACTAGTATCGCACTAGTCAGTTTCATTCATCGACTTCGTCGTCCTATTATGGATTTTACATTTTATGCGAACTCTGATGCACTATTAATCGAAACGTCGTCAACGAGCTCCAAGGAGTCGTGGGCGTTATCCAACGGTATCGTGATGGACAGTGGAGAAGAGTATTTCGGGTGGAACGCTTTGAAAAATGTTGAAACCGCCGAAGGAAAGCCGCTCAACAAGAAGCGGAAAATATCGTCAGATCTGCGCGAGGATCAGCTCAGTACCAAACAGCCAAACATCTTCAAGCTGTTGAAGGACCCGTTGGAGTTGGATCAGAAATTGGAGGCCGTTAAGAAGGTTGCACATAATGGAAAAGGTGAGTGTTGCAGAGTTGAACAGCCACCAAACAGCCAAATCCTGTCATTATCTCCATTCCCTTCGCCCCGAATCGGCTAACTGGCCTGAACTACTTTACAAAGGAAGTACCTTTTAACCAGTTAGTTAGCACTTTGTGCTAATAAAAATCGCCGCACAAAGTGGGTGTAGATGTGACGTCCTTTGCCGTCTTACTTTGGCTAGTTTTCAGCCTGAGAACGTTTATTTTTAACGTAGATTTTCAGGCGGAAGTGGACAGTAGAGCGTTACCTGCTAATCTCGTTCATGTATAGATCAGAAGACGCTTCAATGGTCTAGTTGCCTAAAGTAGGCCAAGTTGTTAATTGCCGGATGGGCCTCGTTTAGCTCAAGTTGAAAATTGTACATTTTTCTGTTTGGCGCAGCGACAGACATGTTTTAAACACCATCGTAGGGATGTTTGATTTAAGTTGTTTGTAAAGTTATTCAGTCGCCCACTCATGTGATGTTTGGCCTGGCGGGCCTCAAAAATGTTCGACCTCCGAGCGTTTAGGTTTTAAAGAGAAAAATCCTAATAAAGCGCAAAACTTTAAAATATCTGGATATGAAAGCGCGATTGCTGCGCAACTGCTCAAGGAAGTAGAATGCGAAAACGTTACGAAGAAATTATATTCACCCGCCTTGTTTTGTCGAATTCGGAACTAATTTGTCATCAACACCAATTTGAGCACATAAAATAATCCATGAATTCTGGGTCGTCTGTAAGTTAATTCCAGTATTTATATAAAATCCAACGTAACCGAACCTTATCTGGAAAGTGGCATTCAGTTATCTCAAACTACAGATACGCAAGTTATCAAAACTTTGTATTCCGTCTGTCTTCGCAATGTTTTCATTGAATTGATGATGATTTGTGGTTGCCAAGCTAATGCTTGTTAGTCGTAAAATTAGTGAGTGTTTGCTGCATTCGAGGGCCTATAAGATGTTAACGTTCGATAGCGTCTACAAAAGTATGTAATCAATTTAGTGGACATTTTTCGAACTGAGAAAATGTGGCGTAATCAGGGAATATGAGAAGAATTGGGGAAATGTTCTACTGCTTGCTCAAATCGCAAAGTTTTCTTGCGCAAATGCTCTCTCAACTCAAACTTGCGAACATCTGAAAAATTGACCCAGTAGAGAAAGAATGTTTCGGTTTTAGAGCCAAAAATGAGCGAGAACTTCGACGTATTTGCTCAGCGCAGCAAAACAGTGCACTTTGATACGTTGTTCGCATTTACAACCTACAGAGTGTTTCAGATGAAATGGCCAGAACGGAATCCGGTTTATTACCATAAATGAAACTTTATATATTTTGAGGGTTAACCACAAATGTGATACAAATGTTGTTTAAAGTATGTTCCACATTTTCGTTTCAACTCGATTTATTGCAACCATTCGCAAGGAATCCATTGACTTACCAAACATTCTGTATATCTGAAGTTTTTCGGCAAAACATTTAGTAAATCGCACAAAAAATCTTCTTTCTAATGTAGCGACAATTTGCGTGCTTGAATTTATTGGTAGCATGTTTTAACCATTTAGTATTCGGAGCTTTTAATTATTAAGCTAGAAAACAAGCGTATTAATTAATGGTACCGAAGCGTGAACATCTTGGTTATTAGCAGTTGATCTCAATTGACATCGCTTAAGGCAAATGTATTGTTCGGTTACCAGTACTTTTGTCGTGTTATTGCAAATGTAAGATAAATAGGAAGTTTTGCATTCCGGGCTCAGCAACAGTTCTTAGTCTTCCTTCGCGGACCAAATCAAATCACATTAGCCTACACCAGAACTCCAAGGCCTCGGTTATTGTTTTTTTAGCTGGTTCTTACATAAGAGTACCAAATTGTTTGGCACCCAAATCGACTGTCGATTTGTCAAATCTTGTTTGTTCTTGGGGCTTAATTAGTTAATTAAATAGACACTTAAAATCCATTTTGCCCAACAGTGGTACTGAAGTAGGCAGTGTGGTGAACATTTTTGAATAATGTTTGTGGAACCGTTCTGTTACTCGGTAAATCTGGGTATGTAATTTCTATTGATTGATCGAGCGAACATTCAACAATTGGTGTGGAATCGAGTTCAAAATTCTACTATCAGAAGCTGTTTTGAGATACATTTATCACTGGCCATACAAAGGCCATTCTGGGTCACTCAAATCAATAGCAAAACCGCCAGCTACATAAACGATAAATGACGATTTGTCATCAAGAATTTGATTCTTTCAGAGCCAAACATTAGGTAACCAGCTAGACCTTAAGCTCACATTGAAAATGTTGAAGCATAATTTTTTTTGTTGTTATGAATTACAACAATGCAAACTTGCCAGTTACTGTTCAAATATTACTAAGTGATATGACTCTTCTTAAGTGTCCTAAATGAAAAAGGTCATAACAATAAAGTTCTCATTACGATAATCAAAGCTGATGCCGCTTGGTTGGGCTCGATTTTTTTTGATGACGACAAGCATGTCTTACACGTGTCGAACTGGAATTTCAAAGAAAATTGCTGCTTGGCACGTTTTGTTGTTATTGCAAAAGTGTAGAGTTCAATTGACTTATTTTCATGGACAGGCAAAGATAAAATTAGGTTTTACCTGCACAATAAAGCGAATTAATATTTTGCAAAAAAATGCAATGAGCGCAAATATCGGAACAAACACGGGGAACGCAACCAGCACCAATGCGTTTTATAAATCTTGTACAAACGGACTAATTACACACTATTTTAACTTTTTTCTGCTGCTTTGAATAGCGCGTTCTAATATGAACGATGCGCAAAACCATGATCTAGAAGATTCAAAAAGTCGTAATACCTGGAAATGTCCGTCCCCACGATGCGATTTTTACATCAAATCGCTGGCAAAATATGGCCCAAAAACGGAAGTTTCCATACAATGAAATGCTAACATGTTAAACTTATGATGGTTTCTTCAATTTTTTAGGTTCGACGAGAATGCCTTCGCAATGGAATGTGGAAGACTATGGAGATATCCAGCAGGAAATCGACAATTCCCTAAACCTGGATGCGGATTTATCCGCAAATCATTATTCCAGGTAGGTAATAAATAATGCAAATTTTCTCAGCAGTCGCCGGCGAATAAACGCCTATTGATTTCCTCTGAATAAACGGCTTTGTACCAACGTCTATATATAGATTTTTGTCTACAAAACGCTGTCTGTATCGTCTAGGTCGATTAATTTGAGCTTTTGCCACTTTTGAGTGCCTGCAAATTGCAAAGCAAATAGCCAGCGCGCTCTAACAAAGTGGCACATACACGGCAATCTGAAAACAATAATGGGCTAATCGGCCAATTTAGGCGATAATTGCCACATTTGCCATGTAACATCCTGTATTTCGCTTAACACGTACAAAAGGATCAGTAATCTCTATTTCAGGCCGTTAAAGGAACAGGTTTTAATCAGGATCGCATGGAACCTTTATTTGCCTTTAATATTATCAAGTAACCGGCACATAAAATCATCTGTTAGATCATTTTGCATAAGCTGATACCATTTAAAATTGGTTATGCAACCGAGACCATTGTACCATATTTTTCGTACAGAAGAGATAATTGTTATATAACGATAGTGTAATATAAAAATTCGCAGCACAGACAGTTTCAAGAACTTCTATTAATTTATCTCTATAGGAAATAATGTAATTTTGTTATTGTTTCAGTGAGTCGAAGTCAGCAATGAACAGTCTGATGGTGTTCAAACAGGAAGCTCTGTCTCCCACAATGAACGAGGTGGCTCATTCACAGGCTCGTCACAATCGGCAAAGCCCTACATCGACACAGAAAGGAGCCATGGTGAATCCGATCAACAGCACCATGGAGGAGAACAGCCAGAACATGTTCAACAGCACAATCAATCAGCTTTTGAGCCAAAGTGCCTTGGTTAATTTGCACAGCGTTATTGATAGTGAGTGCGCACCGCTCCTATTCTGGCTGAATTTTCGTTATGTTCGATGCTTTTTGCAGACAACAATTTGTCTACATCGCCACATTCCCAGGACAACTTTGGAGTCTCTTCCACCAATAATTACAGTTCGCTGGAAGATTGTCGATTCCAGTATGTTTTGGCGGCCGCCACCAGCATTGCCACCAAACAGAATGAGGACACTTTAACATACTTGAATCAGGGACAGAGCTATGAGGTCAAATTGAAGAAATTGGGCGATTTGTCCATGTATAGAGGCAAATTGCTAAAGGTAACTTTCAACAGGCCGTTGTTTGTTAAGCGTCCCTGATTCCCTGTGTTTGGATTAATCGCTCGACCGATAGCCGCAGAAAAAGTAACTGTAAATCACTGACTCAGCATACAACCTTCTACTAGAAATTAGAAAATAATAAACATTACACCATCCACTAATAGTTGGAAAATTAGACCTTCGAATAATGTAAAAATAAATAAGCAGGAAAGCAACATCAACCTATTCCTACCAGCTAGGTTTTGTTTCAAATCTTGTTCCTGACAGAACAG